TAGATGCCATCAAACGTGTTTCTTTGGTATGATCCTAAAGAAAACAGAATACTTTGTTTATTGTTAGTCTGCCAAGAAACTGAAAGTGAATCCAATTATCATTAACACTAATTGCCTAAAAATGATCACTAAGTGAAAAATTTTGAGTTGAGGATACCATCTCAGAATTCATCTAGCTAGCTCTTCTGAATGTATGCATACCCACCAAGACTTAGAGCATGCATAAATACATCCAGAAGAAAACTTTAAAGCCTGGAAGGTAAAGGAGAAGATCAAAACCTATCATCCATTTGCTGTCTGCATTTATTTAGTTACAAAAACTTTGCACAAGTTAGTGTTTTCAGAATATTGAAGGATGAAGCCCTAAACAGACTTAAGAATGAGTTGTTCTTTCTGAATAAAAATGACCTTCTTGAGCAAACAAGTTTAGGATTACCTCATACTACCTGAATCCTACCTGTGCTTCTTAAGAAGCAAATTGTACAAGTTTTATTTATAAATTTTTTATTGCCATGTTTCTCCATTTTTTCTATATGAACAAAAAATGATGCTATGTATTTATTGTTTATTGTTTCTCAATAAATGCATAGCATTACCTTAACTAATATAATTTTCTTGTAGGGTCTCAAAATACTGGTTTTTTTTTTCTTTTTAAGTAGATTTGGTATTTCCTCATTTTCTCACTGCACATTAATTCAATCATATGCAATCTAGATCCTAAATTTCTTGTAAGAAAACAAGAGTGATTCATGTTTGTCATTAGGATTTCTAAGAATATTGTTCAGAAGCATTATTTGGGAATGTTGTAATCTGATGTAACCTGCTTATTTGCCAATCAGAGCACGGTTAGACTCTTCCAGAAACATTATAATATATTGTCACCTTCTGATATATAGCTCATGGCATACAAAAAGCTCAATCTACGTGTCTAGAATGCATTGTGCCAAATTGAAAATGACTAGGATCAACAATAAGAAGATTCTTAATTTGTAAAGAAGTTAGACTTGTATATAAGTTTTCACTTGTGTACAAATAGGTAACAGGCATCGTTTCTACTAACCTGAACAATTGCTGCAGAATGCTTCGAATGGCAGATGGTGCCGACGTAACCTAATCCTAAAGTTAGTCCATTAAGGTCAATGTCCCTATAAGAAAGAAGGGGAGATCAATGAGATAGGGACTCTTCATTATCAGAATGAGTAGAAAAAAACATTAAAAATAGTATTATGAGAAACACTCTATAAAATAACATACTACAATATTTGGAACAATCTGAACTCCCTAAAGTACCAGACACAATTAAAGATATGTTCAATGAACGAATAACCTTGATAGAATTGACAGAAGAATAATTAAGAGACAAAAGAATAATAAAACATAAGGGCCTGATGGGCTACTGGCAGAATTTTTCAAACAACTAGAACAGACACTAAGCCCTGTGATGTTGGAACTATATAATGAAGTATTGCTAGAAGTAGAAATACCAAACTCATGGATGGAAGCAAACAGCATTCTCATACTAAAAGATGATTCAGATTTAATGCAGATAAACAATTATAGGCCAATATCTTTACTGCATGTGGACTATAAAATACATATGCTTAGATAATAGAGAGATTTAAAAAGTATTTGAATGAATTTATACATTTAGGCCAGAATGGATTTCTGCCAAAGGGACAGATTAAAAACAATATGAGAATGATTTTAAACACATTGGAGTATCATGAAATGCACCCTGGAGAACAAATGGCATTGATGCTTCTAGATTCACAGAAAGTATTTGACAACGTTAATTGGCAATTTATGTTATTACAACTGAAATATATGGACTTTGGGAAAGTTTCATTAATATTATTAAAGTAATATATAATAAACAATCAACTAAGGTGATGATAAATGGGGACATGACAGAGAACTTTGATATTAAAAAAAGGCACTAGACAGGGATGTCCACTGTTGCCGCTGCTATTTATACTGACTTTGGAAGTGTTAGCCAGGAATATTCCACAAAATAAAGAAATAAAAGGAATGGAAATTAAAAAAGAGAAAGACAAGCTACAGGCATTTGCAGACGACATGGTCTCCATATTAGAAGACCCCTTAGAAACTGGAGTGAAGCTAATTAGAAAAATAGAAGAATATTGTTCCAGCTCCTACCAACCTAGCAGTTCAAAAGCACACAAACATAAGTGGATAAATAGGCACCATTGCGATGGTGGGGGAGAAGGTAATAGCATTCCATGTGCTTTGGGCATTTTGACATTGACAAAGTTGGCTCTTCAGCTATGAAAAAGAGCTTGTGTGTGTATATATACATATGTATCAGTGGTGGGTTATGTACCGGGGCATACCAGTGCCTACAGGGAGCAGTACAGGTATGGTACGGTGCTCTGGATGGTCCACCTGCCCGCCCACATTCGTGGTATTTGAGGTTTTTGGGGCTTCTACACATGGAGCGTATGGTGCCTGCATGATGCTATGCCGAGCACCTGGAGTGTCACAGAAGTGTCGTGGAGCATCGCAGGTGGTAAGTATGCATGTGTATGCTGCACACATTAATGTGATCGGCACCCAGCCCCGTTGCACCATACCAGTTGCAACGGGATCCGAAACCCACCATTGATATGTGTTTGTGTGTGTATGTATGTATGTATGTATGTATGTATGTAGGTAGGTAGGTAGGTAGGTAGGTAGGTAGGTAGGTAGGTATATGTATGTGTATTTTATATTGCTAAGCATTATAAATAGATTGGGTATTTTATTATTTTCGTTTATTCTTGCTTTACCTGTTATGTAATGAAAGCATTCATTTAATTAATGCAGAATGAGAACCAAAATATTACTCAACTGATTGGAAAATGCATGTTTAAGTACAGTCAAAGCGTAGCAGAATAATTATTTGAGTTTCAATTTTAAATGAAATCAAGCTGAGGTTTTGACCTGCAATCATTCAAAGACTTCTCAAAACCAGCTCTCATCTACCAAAAAAAAGTAGTTTACTTTGACCCAGAGATTCAGTTCATGTTTGGTTTAAAATATACAGCATAGAGTGGAAAAACTGTACAAGCACTAAACTTCCCATAATTCTCCATTCCCAGACACCCCACTCCCTTCCCCACAATGAGACGTACGTGAGTAACTGAGCATTATCATTCCTTCTGCGTGACAGCAAATCTGATTCTCTCCATCTTGCAAATAAGTCCAAAGTGACATTCGCCGCTGGCTGCACATTAATCCTATCTCTGTCGGACCAAATTTCTGTGCCAATCAGTGCTACATGAATTCGCAAAGGTCTCAACATCTGTCAGGTGGACATGGCAACAATCAGAAATTCAAATACAAGTAAACCCTGAGAAACCTTTCAAGATCAAAAAGCAACTGACATTGGCTTCTATGGGCAGGTGAAGAAAAAAAAAGATCTAGGCATCAATAGAAGAGAAATCTCTGGAACTCAAGGTTTTATTGTGGAGTCTTTGGTGCACCTTGACTTTATTGCTTTGCTTACTCAAGTAAGTTATTTACTCAGATAATAAGATGTTTGCAAGGAAACCACCAAGCTCAGAAGCACTAAGGACTCTATATATTGGGGAAACAAAAACAACAACAATATAACAAGAACAACTTGGAACAACATACAAGTTTATAATAATAATGACATATTTTAGCAGTAGAAATAAAACAAATGATAAAAAGAAGCAGTTGATTATTCTCTGTAATCAGGATAAAAAGGAGGAGGACTAAAGGGAGAATTGACTCATTGATCTTTCTGTTGTCTCCCTGATTCCAACTGATCATCAACAGTGAAAATGTAAACAAGGTTAATAGGACACTACAATATGAGTGTATCTCCTGGTAGGTACCACAATCCAACTCAAATTGAGTTCCTGTCTTTAGGTTTCTTCTCAGGGATCAGTTTAACTATCATTTGACTCACTCTGTCCATCTCTTTCTAACGTCCAAGTTCAGAACCATTAACCATGGTCCTCAAAGAATCCAGCTACAGGTGTCATTCTGATTGAATTTTTGCAACACTTTTGGATTTGCAACCTCTCAACATAGTGGCTGTATTCACATAAGGGGCTTATTAACCTGGTTACAATTAACCCATTTTCTGGGATGGTCTTGCACGCTGGACACCAGCAGGTTAAGTGTGTTCTGTGAACACAGTGAAAATCTGGGATGAACTTGAGAGAAGTTTAAATCCAACAACTGAAATGATTTTTTGTCATGTCTTCTTACCGTATTTATAATGTTGGCAATTTCATATATTCTTGTTCTTATAGCAGTTAAATCACTCTTGTATTTCCTGTACTACAGAAAAGACAACAAAGTTAAGATGAGATCATAATTATAGGAAGAATCTTCATTTATGCCATTTATATATTAAGATTATTAACTGTTCAACAATATACATGGGTTCTCCTCCAGGTTGGAGAAAATTTTGGTCAGCCTACTGAGATGCTTTCCTAAATTGGATATCATATTTCTATGTTTAGAGAAGTGTAACATACTAAGCATTCTCCACTAGACATTTTATTCTTCCTGCGTTGTAAACTTGGATACACAAATTGTGCAGGAATATTTCAAAGAAATCTATATACCTGTTTAACCAGTGTGGGATGAAAATAAATTTAGATGGAATCGAGGAAGAACAAATGTGCAAATTAGGGTATATTTACAAATTTAGTCATATTTTTTTTTAGTCATTTTATTAAGATTTATAGGCCGCCCTTTTCCCTGAGGGGACTCAGGGCGGCTTACAATCACAGGGAAGGGGGTGCAATATCAAAAGACAAACAAAGTGTGAACAAAAGAAAAATAATAAAACACAACTTTCATTCAACAGTCAACACTCGGGCGGGTAAATAAATTGGGAACCTATCCCCAGGCCTGACG